AATTTTTGATTTATTAATGTTTTTCTCAAATAAGAGTGTACTGTTACCAACCGTTTAGTAGGTCACTTTGAATAATGACAAATAAGGCGGGTGGGTGTGTCTGACAGAAAAGGTGAATCTGACAGTTGTCCACTCTACTATCATGATAATGATTAATGATCCATTGTGCATTATATGCGTACATTATAAGACCGAAAACCACTTTACTCTCAATGAAGTAGATTGAATTTTTGGTGTTGTATAGTCTACATGAACTGTGCTATTAATCAAATTCAACCGTTTTGTATGCTTACCTCTGTTTATTATTTTATTGTGATGCATTTAGTTTGTCTTTGTGATAAAAGTGCCTTTTATTTGCTAAATCCTATTGTTAGATTGTTTCATAGGTCCGACTGTATATTTCTATCATATGAAACGAAAATATTGTGAAAGTAATGTGTTTATCAGTGTTTACCTATTTTCAACAGTACGGAGAATTCAACAACGCTTTTCTGACCCTTAAGATAACTGCATCTTGACTGTTTTCTGCTGCAGACAAACAAAGTCGAATGACCGTGAAGTTGTTGGTAGAAGAAAAAATTATTATTTTACACTGGTCCCTGGATTATGAATTATTTCTCATATTTATGAATAGACACAATCTGAATTCATTCACATAGCTAATTTCTACACAAGATATCATGTTAGACGATGATTATAACGCAACAGGCTTAAATCCGTAGTTCATTCGCAGTTTGTTCCACTAATGTATTCAGTGTGACTACCAAGCTTATTTTTCTCCTACTCCAGTTAAATAAATATGATCAAAGAAACAGCAGACACTTTTTGGGAAAAGGAAATAACTAACTGATGATGGTCGTTTTAAGTTCCTTTTAAGTTCCTCTGGGTTCAAATTTCATCTATCATCGCTTTCTAACAAGTTCATCTCGTCCCTTTTTAAAACTATAAATAACTGAAAGTTATTACTCAAAAAGCATTCTTGGTATTACTTTTATTAAAGTCGTCGAGATTTTTGCTTTTAATTGTTACACAAATGTCAGTCAACGAAGTGAGATTTCTTTCTCATTGGCAATCTTTAATCCTCATATTAGATTTGTTTGTTTGATTTATAGAGCGCAGTGATACAGTGATACCAATATCATTGCTATGATTATGAGCAATAATTTATGCTCGAAACGTAATCAAGTAAATAATACTGTATCACTGTGCGCTATATATCAAATAAACAAATCTAATATGGAATTACATTCCACCACAGTGCCCAAGTTTTACACTTATATTAATCTTTAACCTTGCTGCAATCCTTGAGATGTTTCAGTTTTCACTACCAGTCACAATCCTTAAAACAAATAAATGTAGTGTCAGCATTACGCTTACTATTAAGCCACTCGGTAAAAGTACTGAGCTAAAGGCTGTTAACCAGCAATGGTCATTTAAATATTATGAACCCATAAACGACAGCCGAAACAATAGGTTCGCTCTTATTCAGAACAAAAAGTCGGATGTAATCAAAGGGATAAACGGAACTAAAATTCTAGATTCCTAAGTGTATTCCACAGAACAGCTACAACTTCCGGAGATTTCAGCCTTTTTATAAATTCATATGTAAACAATCCAGATATTCCGTCAAAGAACAAGTTTGATCAGAGATTTATTTTACCTATGGTGGTGAATCCTCATTAAATTGGCTCTCCAGTATACTTTGGAATTAGTTGTGTAGTTCAGATAAGGCGTTAGGATTATTCGACTCCGAAAAAGGTTTCATTGCAGACTGACCGAAGTAAGGAAATACAAACCAGTGAATTCCAATACACTGACGAGACAGTAATGGATGCCCCACTATAACTAACGGTCACGGGTTCGACAAATGGTTGTTGATATGAACTCGTAAACTAGAGTGATACAACTCTCTGGTATTCAAAAATTCACGATGTTTCTCCAACGGATACCGCTTAGTAATTAAAATTACTCTGAAGCTCTTAAACATGAACCAAATAAAATTCTCTGTCGGTAAACATTTATATCCAAAAAGCTTTATAATCTACTAAATGCATTTTTTTATCAAAACATTACAATAATGGCTACTGCTGTTACCATTTTAGCAAGTAGTTTAACAACTAATACACAAGCAGTGCAGAAAGAAATTGATTTATTACTTAAATCAGTGGTAATGAATGTTATGTTGCAGATCATAAAAGTGGACTGCTACCTATTATTCCAGCAGAAAATGTTGAATGGTCAATTTTAATGGAGGGATATGGATTAGTGTCAGATTATAATATCTCAATTTTAAATATCAACCATCAGCTTAGACGTAGATAAGACTATTAAATCCCTGATAGTTTTGGAAAATACATTAATTCATTAAAGGTTTTAACATGGGAATAATGTCATCAACTAACTTTGTAAATAAATACTTCATATGATCCTAATTGGGAAAGTAGTTTATTTTAACCTAGATAAATTAAAAATACACAGAATATTCAACCCCTAATAATTTTCTTATTTTATCTAAACAGGTTAAAGCTGATCTTATTCTCACTGTTGTAAAATGTCCCTTATTAATATGAAATTAAAGTTTCCGGAGTAGCCTTTGATGGTACATCATACTTTTCACAACTGTACTTCACAGTTTATTTAAGACCATCCAACGACTGACTTCAGCTGTTTGAAATGCAATAGAATTGTCAGAGAACTCAACTATGATATATGAAGACAAAGTTCAGCAAACAAGCTAGAGAAAAGATTGTCTTTATTCGGGTTTCTTTGCTTGGTCAACAAAGATTTAGATGGCTAAGTTATTAGCTTTCGTTTCATATGAGTCTCAACAAATTTTCGCTTTGTTTACTATGAAGTTACGGGCTTACACAATCGGAGTTTCTAAAATATTGCTCACGTCACAAAACGGTACCTTTAGAGCACTTAAAGAGTGTGGTGAATGTTTCTTCCCTCGTTTTCTATATAAGAATTTTATTCGTAATTCTTAGGTGTGAAATAAGTAGTTTCCCTATTTTTCGAGGGATAAAGCTGTGCGTGGCATGGCTTTCTAGTTGTAGATTTTAGTTACAATCACCAAACATCACTTGAACAGTTTGTTCGATGACAGCAGAATACAATAAAATAACTGGCCTCTGTTTCTTACTTTTTTCTGAACTAATATTATTCCTATTTAAGTTCGGCGATAGTTTATCAGGCACTGTAATTTACTTGCCCTGTCACTTGTTAGTTTTTTTCCTCAACACAAATATGAATTTGAGACTTCTGCATGAATAACTGATAACTTTCTGTACCACTTGTTATGTATCGGTTATATTCTGAGATGATGGAGAATGTTTGTAGATAGGAAGTTTTTGTTGATGATGTTGTCCAGAATGACAATGAAAGTTTCACAAATAAACCGTTCAGCTCAGCGAACACAACACTATCAAAGTTATATCCTACTTATCTAATAGACACTAAAATACTTGTATGCATAGATATTAACGTGTCTCAAAAAACTACTTGTTTACTTTCTGACTGCACATAAATGCGATGAGAAGGCGAGAACTTCAATGGGACTGGATATTTTCAAGCTGTACACAATGACTAAACGAGCCTTCATCTTTTGGCATCATCGTTTAACACATCTTTGGTGAAGTCTAAAGGTTAAAAAGTTTTGTCAGTTGATGACAGAAACTAGCGCTAGCAGGCACAGATCATTTCTTACTTATGCCAGAAGTATATTTATAACAGCTTTGTGAAAAAATGGGTTAAAAATATTAGTGGAAAACGCATTTAAAAGTCCAAACTTAGGGTTCACAGGCATTTTTATTCTAGATATGAGATGAAATGTTCACCAAAGCGACTTTTGTTCTCGCTCATGCCCTTTTAGGAGGTGTAAAACCAAAATTATAATCTTTTTTCAGTCATGAAATAAATTTTAAGGACAAAAGTAATGAATCTTCGTTACTCAGAAAATCAACAAAGTTTATTATCAAGCCAACTGAACAAGATGTTATTGAAATCAGATGGAAATAAAATTATTCCAACACAGATGTTCACAACAAAAGTGTTCAGAAAATGAGACTTCTTGAAAAAGACCGTAAAAGAGATGACAAGTATCATATTTTGTAGAAAGGCAAGAGCTTAAATTTATTTTTATGTCAATCTCAATAAAATCCTAATTGAAATACCTACAACAAATGAGTTCAAGTACATCCTTATATAACAAAAACATTCACTCATTCTTATATATCCTCTGTTTGTCCTTTTGAAAATCAATATCCGGCAACTTTTTTATGGGACGCACTGATTGTCCGTTTCCAAATTACAACTGAAAGCAAACTAAGGAAATGTTAGAATCAATGAATTTCGACTTTATACCTTTAAGAAAAGTGATATTTAGGTTTAACTTGACGATAAAATCATCAAGTAGAACCACAGTTCACAGCTATTTAAATTTCTGAAAAAGATCTTTTATCCACTGTGTCGTTTTCAGTTATACTAAGTGGGGAAGGAAAAGGTTAAAATTTCTCATTACATAGATCCTATTTCTCAAAGCTCATTTGTAAAGCATTTCTCATGTGACTGGAATTTTCTGAATTTTTCCTGGAGAAAAATGAAAGTTTAAAAGTGTTAAGTATTAAACTCTCACCCGTTGCTCCTCAGTTTCCAGTACTCTTTGCAAAAATGACAACTTGAGACTAAAACCACCTCTAGATGTGTTATATTCACCACCTCTATAAATTCTAATCCAAGTATTAATAATTCATTATCACATAATCTTTAAACACCTTCACGTATCGTCCTAAAACGAGTAAGTGCAATATCAATTATCATTATTGTTCGAAATCTCAGATTTCACAAAAGAAATAGGATTTCAGATAAAAAACACAGATTTTGATGTTGGAGTCAACTCTAAATTGATATAGTGGGATGTCTTGCATGAACTATTGATTTGCGCAAATAGGAAAGAAAGTGATCTTTTTACCTTTTGTTTTTTCTGTCTTGCTTTCTTTTAGGTTCTTGGGGAGTTCTCAACTGTATATTCAGAGAAAAAGAAGACAAAATAAATGATGAAAGGCAACTTTACTGATCACTGCCTCCAGTTTTTTATATTGTGCTTAGCTTACATTTACCTAATAAGGTGTGATAAAGCATCAAGCATTGATTTGAATCGCAATTCACAAAAGTCATCTTCAAATATAAGTAATGCTACAAAGCTTAATGCACAGAATAGTAACGATGAAGAAAACATTGATATTCCTGTACCCGGTGTTGGATTACAAGCCGCTGTAGTTTCCGCAACCGGATTAGTAGGTGGTGCAGGAGGAGCACCAACAAATAAGTAAGTATTATCTATTATGGTTACATTATTCCTTACTAAGTGTTTTCCAGTTGATATCCTATGTATCAAGTTCCAGAAAATAATTAAAAAACAAACACTGATATTCGTCACTTGCAATGTAATCATTCATCCATAAATCGAAGACTGAATAAAAAAGTAACACTGCATAAAGCGGCTTCCAAATATTTGTTTTTGAACAGCTCGTAGCTTAAGTGGTCATTTTCGGATAGATTTTGTTTACAGATAACTCAGTCATTTCAAAATGATGGTGGATAATTTTTGTGTGAAATGTTATTTCAAAAGTATGCCATAAAAACAAGTAAATTATTGCACTATGTTAAGTTTCGGATGGTTTGTGAATAATCATGCAGTAAAAGCATTAATAAAACGCTGTCTCGTGGGTGGTAATCAAAAATCCTTTGAAGCTTCCTCATAACTACAGTCAGTTAATGAATGAAAATAAGATTGTGAGATTTAAAAAACACACTGGTTTTATGAATTTATCTAAAACCTTGGATGTTCTTCCTCAATCAATAAATGAATAATGAATTAAAATCTTTTGACAATGGTTTGGCACTTGCTCATCAAAGTAAAATTAGAATTTTAGTAAAAGTTAGGCATCCTGAGCTGTTTGATGAAACACTGAATAAGGGTCTAAAGGATTCGTGCCTTGGTTCAGATTTTCTTTATTCTGCTGGCACACACATTGATAACTGTTAATGAACACTACTGAGAGTATTAGTATGACTAAGGTATAATCACGTGAATATTTTTTGACATACTGTTCTATTTTAACCTAATTTCTGAAAAAACAGTGGCTAACTGATACTCTGCAGTTATCCGCTGGTCAGTAAATGATAAACATCCTGAGTGTCGGTAGAATAAATCCCATAAACAACTCACTTACTTGCCACTAAGAAGTTCTTAATTTAAGACAAAGTTAACCAAGAGGTTTTGCCGCTATTAGCGTGACATGGTAGGAAGTGTAAACGCCAATATTTATAGTAAAACATAAGTTATGTCAGTTGAAAAGGTTCGCTAACAATGGTTACTGCTTTGATCATAGGTTTCCTAATTATTTGTTAGTCACTGCATAATAAGCCATGAAAGACTGTGGCCCAGGCACACTTCAGCAATTTACAAGACACTGTTGGCAGTGAGGTGACTTATATTGGAATGTTTGGCCAGTGAAGTTGTGAAGCTTCAATCTATTGTGCTTTCATTGTGTCTACGCTTCTGAGACATGGCGTGTGTAACCGATATATTCACTGCTTAACTGCTTGACAGTATGAGGCCAAAATTCAATTCAGATCCTTCTACATAATGTAATTGTATTTTAACCAATTTTCTGAGTGAAATTATCCGCTACGGACTCTGGTAATGGTCACATGGCTGATATACTTGCAAAATACTGTTAATAATAATACTCAATAGCTAAGCTGATATATATTGCCAGTGGATGATGGCCACCAAATACCAAGTTGGTATTCATCGTCGACCGACATCAGTTGAAGAGGCACATAAAACCTAAGAGCGCTTGCCAGCTGTTTCCCCTTTTACGACATTCCTAACTGGTGCACATATATGAATCCACGAAAGTTTACGCACAGGAAAATCATGCCTCATGACGGGAAGTGTCCTGTTCGTAATCCCCCTCGAATTCTTAAATATGAACCGTCCAGGTGTCCTAAAACAAGGAGAAATAGCCACCAAGCCCTCTTAAGTTTTCAATGCATTTACAACTGTAATGTCTGTGAAGATTGCTACTATGAAGTTGATCAACCCTCATAAACCACTAGTTGTAACTTTCAAGTGCCACATGTGATGATTTTCTCAACTATAACTTGGCAGATATTAAAAGTAAAGCAAAACAAACAATCGCTTGTAAAACTCACCTGAAGAAAACATTTGAGCATATAAAATGAAAGACGGTATAAAGTTATGTCAAGGTGATTTATCGAGTAAAACGACATTCGAGCTTAGAGATGTAAGTCATCTCATATTCAATGAATTTTCGCCGGTCACTGGTAAGCTTGGCTAACGACCACTGCATCACAAACAGTGTAGCTAGCATCCGCCAAATATATAAACAGTCATTTTTTCCACTGACAATGTAAACTCTCTCTTCAGCCTTATTTAGAAACTGTGAAGTATCAAGTAGGTACAGAAACCCACTAGCCTCTTACTAGGCAAGTTAAATAATTCGAGCCGTTATTCAATCCTAAAACTAGAGCCTGAACACACTTTTAGATTGATATCTTCCGAATTGTCAAAAAATGTCAAGAGATTAAGTGACAATTATTTGGTATACATTTTCCCGAAAAATCACCGTTGAAGAACAGAAGGAGTAAAAACGATGTCAAATAATGTTGTTTATTTGCTTAGAATCAATTGAAGTCATTCTGTCCTTCAGTTACAAACTAAAACATCTCATCTACTTGGATACGTATCTCTTATTTCCCTGCGAGCACAGTTTCCTTATCAGTTTTGTTTATTTCTCTTGTTCTGTTTATATTTACAAACTTCTGGTAGAAGAACGAAAACAAACTGTTGAGCAAACTTATGCTTGATTAAATTACCAAGCACATCTGAAAACTACTTATAAACTATTTCTTCACATAGTTGTGTATATTAACTCAAATGGGAGAATGAAAATAAAGAAATAAGTCAACAACCTTTAAGTATTGCATTGGTTTAAATAGAATTAACTTCCCAATTCCTTCTCGTCTACCTATCTCGCTTTATCATTTAGTCTACTTAGTTATTAGTGTAAATATACCCTTCTTTCATAATTGTGTATTACGTATATGCAGTGTGTCAATATTCCTTTTGACTATGCCAAAAGACATCACACCATACCTGTCGTATGTGTACCTGAACAACACTTGAAGTATTTGTACACACAATGGAATGGATATGCAAACAAACAGAATTATGAAAGATGAGTGCATTGATAAGTGAGATTAGAGGAGGTGAATGAGTAGAGGTGTATAAGCCTAGTGTCGGACAGTGGGCAAAGAACATGCACAAGATTCTTTATACAATGACTAGTCATACAAGGATAAAATTGGAAAGTCTCGTTGTTGAAGTGAAAACAGGATGATACAAGTGAGCCTCTTTCGTTTCTCCTAGAATTTTGAAAACTAGATTATTGAAAGAGGCATAAACTGCTTAATGCCTATGAGTGTGAGATTCAAAAGGCTATGAGTCATCTACCCTAACGGTAAACAGACATACACAACAGACAAGTAGCTTTTCGTGTATACATCGACTAAAAACAGACAATTATGATTATCTGCAAGAACATGATATTCGACATATTTTATTGGTCTGTTTTAACCTATTCGCTCAAATGCCTGATAGTCCTGTTTGCTGCGTTACCATAATAGTAACTTCAGAGATGATAAATATTGAAATAGGTGAGTGTATCCACAAAGAAAACAAACTGAATAAGCATTAACTTCTAATTTACTAATCATGTTCAACATTTATGCTGCCCAAGGGAGAAATTTACTGTGATGACACTGCTAGTTCAAAACAGGCGGAAGTCAGATAAATAAATACACTTTACAGACTAAAGAACGATAATTTGAAAGTATGTACAAATGAAAATTGTTTTTTTTACTCTGAGTTATTTGTTCAGGTAAATATTATGCTTATCTTGTATTCAACCAGTTACAGGTATGTATATTCTCAAGAAAAAACCCATGCGTACAATCTGTTTGATGTGTGAAGTCATACATTTCAGTTAAGTGTTTTCCATTGTGTTCCCTTGCTGGTCACAATACACATTGAAAAGGTTTTATGTATTAGTTAAGATCATGAATGCAGTTTGCTGTGCATTTATATCAATAGTTATAGTATAGAAAAGTTCAATTTTGCAGAGATGCATTCACTACAGTCTTAAACATTATGGTGGTATTCTACGACTAACAGGATCCAGATCGAAGAGTAATATGACTTTGAGCAATGAACTGTATCCAAAATGTTGTAATGATACATAGATGAAAATAGAGTTGTATTCTACAATAGTAACCTTTACTTCATTCTTTCACCATGAGAACTAATTTTAGCGGTCACGTTTCCCCAAACCTTAATCATTTTATCGTAACTTAACGTCGGAACTTTGAAATGATTTGCTCAGGTAATAATGAATAACACCTAACAAAATGTGTGACTTCATCACTGAGTTAAATAAGTTTAAAACTGTTGGATCCTGAACTTTTATGATTTCACATAAACCTTGATAACGATACAACAGACGGAAGTTCGTCCCTTCTTTCTGATTGGATCCATTAATTAACAAAATGAAAAGTAATTTATTATCCAAACTAGTGAAAATTTATGTTCATTAACTTTAAATGAATACACGCAATTTGTTGTAAACCATCTTAATATGATACCTGAAATACGTTTTAAAAATGTGCCAAGACAGTACTTTTTGGAGGGAAAATGTATAGTTACAAACTTTCTTCAATGATTTACGCAGCTGATGACCACCAAATGAAGGGAATCAGTCTGAAATTATTGACATCAAATTGCATGACTGATTTTGATATCTCACTATTTCTAAATTAATCCCATATGATGATTTCAAACTATCAACAACTGTCATGAGAACAAATTCAATTCATTTGGTAAATGCACCCATTTCTTCATGGACAACAAATCTTGTTCTTCTTATTCACAAAATAAATTCAATTCTGCAAACCATCACTTGCCAAGGTCTTGTTGAGTATTATAAAATCCAAGACCAAGATGCAGAATCCACAACATCTTTGACCAATGGTCTAATCTATGTGGGAAAGTGAATCCCTTCTGCTCAGAATAGATTATAAGAAAACTTCTTAGATAGCTTTAAAGATGATTATAATTGCACAGACCAACTTGGAGCATCCTTATTTTCACCAAAATCTAATTCCTGTACATCTTTATTGCCTTTTTGTTAACGTTACCATGATTTTTACTGTTTCAATTTGTATCACTCACATACTTGTTAGATTACACTTCAGAACGTTGACGTAATAAATGAGCAATTCAGTTTCCATGTAACTTTCCCAGGTCACATTTTACTCAGCTTTGTTTGCATGCGACAGGACTGTATATATGGATAGACCGAAATGTTCGAAATATGTACAGGCTGTCTACTCATCATATGACATATTCAAAATTAAAGATTTCATCAGTTTCATAGATAACTTATAGAACAGTTTACAGCCCAAGAGATCAAGTCATATTACTGTTGAATTGGTTGTTTTTATTCCAAAACAAAGGTAGATAATACAAATTTCAGCTTACCTTATGATATGATTTCCTTCAGATTTGAAGCCGATTTTTAATACGAGTTAGCATCTGCACAACTATGAAAGTTTATCATTTTTATTTAGGGTTAGTTTGTTCAAATTTCTTGCTAGCCTTAAGACCTCTGGATTTAAGACCACTTTCAAACCCCAGTAATGCTAAGTCAAGTTAAATAAAAATCATACTGTCGCTTTTCTGCAAAGGGGTTTATCATCTAGCCAATAATTAGATAAAGAAATTTAAGTCTCAAGTGAAGAGAGTATCAGTTACTTCATCATATGCGTAAGGAATTAAATGATTTTTAAACCATGATTAAGAAACTTGATGAAGGTTCTTAAAGGAGGATGAAAATAAATCTCAGTAGATAACCTTCATATATCAACATTCTCATTTTAAAGACATTATTTTTTATGTTGCCTAAGATGTACTACTGAAATGTGAATAAGTGGTGTATAGTTCACTAGAATGTAGGTATTCCAGTGAATTCATACACACACTCTATTTTTATGTCCCAACAGATTGCCTAATTACGTTAGCCAGTTAAATAATGAATGGTATTTACCTCTTCCTTATAATGGATGACTGACTAAAAAGCATTTGTAGAGTGAATATGATCATGTATACATGCAAACACAATCAATGTGTTACCAGAGGAGAAACGTTGGACCACACGTATTATTGGAATATGCTAATCTGTCTCTTCTCCCAAAAGTATTTTCTGTGTCAGCTGTTTTGTAATTCCATTAACAAACTGGCCTTTTTAGAAGGTTTTACACTGTTAGACAAAATGGTCTGATAATAAAGTAATAAATTTCAGTAGATATTCTTGTCACTTTACTAGGAGTAATTTTTAGAAAAAATACTTAACTTTCTTAATGAATAAGCACTAAGTGTACAATTTTAAGACCTACGTGTAAAGGGATATCTATAATGGGTCTCATATTGTCTGTAGAAAAAATGTAAGCACTTATGTAAAAAAAAAAGCAGAATACACCAGTGATCACTAGTTGGTTAATGTTTATGTCGTGAGGTCAATTTTCCACCTGGCGGTTTTATCAGTGTTTCTCAAAATACTGAATTTCTATTCAGGTAACTTGAAAAGCACATTAGCCATGAAGATTATGTCAAAGCAGAATGGTGAAATAACCTTTCACAACACTTAATGAACTTTTAATTCAGTTTTAAAAATTGCTAAGTGTGCATCCTTATTCTGTTTGGATAGTGGATATAAGTAACCAACTGATGTGGTCATTCAAGAATGAAATATTTCATTTTTGCATTAAATGACTGGCATTATGAATTTTCTTTACTCTTAAATAACAGCAAATAAAGCAAGAAAGAATTTCATCATAAAATACTCTTATCCGACTAAATTGTTATCTTAGTTACTATGTACTCACCTCACATATGTTATCAGCAAACAGCAGGGATTTGTGTGCATATGATGCTGACAGAGGGGTGTATATAAGGAAATGGATTAGAAGTTATTTACTAGTGTTAATAAAAATATGAAATAAAGATTATCTTGTTTACACTGTAAATCTAATCTACGGGTGTGAACTAATTCCATTTCAAATTATGACCAACAAACTGGTTTAATTTGTCATTAGTGACGTTATCCTTATTCATTTATTTTATTCACTCCTTCATTAAAATGATTAGTCATCATGGTCACTTTAAATTCTAGAATGAGTTGGATCTAATTCAAAAATAATAATTCTACAGAGATTTGACTTGGTAAATAGCTGTCCATACTACTATAGATTCTAGTAACGATTAGTTTATGAGCCTACTAACAGTTCCATTTCTCACATTTGATATTTTATTAATTGAACTTCAAAGGGTATAAACTTATTAATCTTCAGTTTAGATTTTGTGCAACAGTATTGGTCTCCGGTTTTAACTTTTTATCAAGACGTCACTTTCAAGTAATATAAAACCAAAAATCACTTTTTGTCCATAAACGTAAGAGAGAATAAGTACATTTTTTGAAGCACATGAAATAAATTAAACCCTCTGAGCCCATGCTTTGGGAAGAATCCAGTAGTTTTTAGTTCAAGAATATAGCGTAAACAGTACAGAAATTGATGCATCACCAATCAGAACAAGAAACGTGAACGAACAAAAGTGTTTTCAGTCTCCTTAGGCTTTACTTTACGATGCTCATTTCAACCCATAATAAAAAGCATGATTTCAACCATGGTGATTTTTGGGTATTTAGTAACAAGATGGCAAGCTATGCAATTAGTAGTTGTCAAGGTGACAATAATAGTATTAGTGGTATGTATCGCAAAAATGGTAGGAATTATGAAAACAGCATGGGACTGAAAATATTTGGGGTGTCGCTCTAGGTACAAAACTTAATAAAATGTTACACTGAAAACAAGTGTCAATGTTCTTTCTCCAAGTTATTTGTAAATTAGTTCATAGTTATCAAGGTAAGTGACTTTATATTTTACTAAAGCTGATGTTTTAGAATGCAAACTAAGAAAAAGATACCGAAAGATAAAGTTCCATCAATATGACTAAATAGGCAAAACTTGTTATCGATAAGGAAGACCTTAGTCAAGACAAGTCTCTTCGTACAACTGACTATTCGTGCCCAAGATTATGTCTGCTTGTGTATAAAAAAACAGTTCAGAATAATGCGAAACACTTGTTCCATTCATTTACCGCGGCATGGTTGAGTGAGAAAATCGAAAGCGTTATATCCATTTTAAACGATATTCTACTGAAAAAATACTATGCAACACTTTTTTCAGATGATATTAAAGCACGTCAGAATAGAACAAGTACATTTTATGGGAAAATGTATACTTAGTCATTTATTGTTTATTTAACCGGATGTATTTGCAGGCACCAGAAAACGGTTACGAGGCTTTTGGTACAGATGATCAATAAGTTCGTAAACACCAATGTCGTGTTGATTGAAAGCTGTTAGGATGACTTTGTCTAGTTTGGTTCATCCCACACTTTATACGCATGTATATATATATATATATATATATATATATATATATGTCATCTACCTTATCAGCAGAACGAGTTAAAGACACTTCTGTTCGGTTTCGATGAACTTACCCACCTTTAATGGGTTATTGGCTACAGTGATAGGAAAGTTTGACAAATTTGGTGATACACCAAACAAAATAAGCTAGACAAGTATGTTGCAGGTAGCTTGACAGTTAAGGAACAAAATGTTTGAGATTCATATGGAAAGATACTAGATGGTGTTGGAATCTAAATTATTTAGGATAATAATAACTACCCGAGAAATACTGCTCTGAAAGCATAAGTATGAAAGTGGTTGTGTCTCACTGACTTTTAGCACACATCATTTGTTGTCATATAGCAGAATCTTTTACACACTTTAGTAGGGATTTTATTAAGAAGATTGAAAATACTTTGTGAATACTGAAGTAAATTACGAACTAATCCACCAGTAACAAAAAATCTCAAGAGGAAGATTTCAAACAGTTGCTTTGAGGGAAGATAGTAAGTGCTTGTGAAGAAAAATAGATTTACGTAAGTCTATAAAGAGAATCTTGTGATGAATGTGAACTGATAAAAAATGCAAGTCCATTACAGTCTACCAGTGTTGTCTTGAATACTTTTACTAACCTCAATCTACCTATCATCTCTCCTCTCATATACTTCCATCCAGCTATGTACCATTAGCTTTTCATTCACTTTTTCTTTGAATACTGCTGCTAAGCTTTGCAACTTGACCGAGTGCACTTCTATGTCGGTTACTATGTTGATCTATCTGTAAATAATTGACTGGCTTTCTTCAAAAATTCATCATCGTATATTAGAGAAATTTCTGTCTAGGAAATTTTAATGTTTCATCTAATATTTCCACTGCTTGGTTGATAAATAGAATCACATAATTTTAGGTGAGTTGGCTTGATCATTCACGTGAATTCACAAAGTAATTAAACTTATGGGGGACCATAGAGGCTGCATAACTCAACAAACAGATTATTTGAACACCAATATTTCGAATTACTGAGAATAAAGTGTTTCAGTCGTTACAAAACTGCTTTATGTCATCGATTCATCACGTTTTTATTCTGTGTCTTGATCTTTATTTTTTCACAATTTTCTTTGCTTTTTAGTATGAATTATGAAACGAAGCCTGGAGAGGAACGCAAAAGTAAGCGAAATCATCCATATAAACCTATATTCTCAAAGATGATTTCTGTCTTCAACTTTACTATAAGTTAAAGAGTAGTAATTTCGTTCTTCTGAAAGGTTTTACCGCTTAAGTGAAGTAACTCCTGGAGTTATGTAGCTTTGATCCATGCAGTGTATCAAACAAACTTCCCATGGAGGTGCGGCTTATTGGGTTATTCAGTTAATTTCCAATCAATGAGTTACTGGATCGAACCCACCTCCACCTACATAGGTTTGGGTATCCAGGTAGTATCATAAACCTTCGCACAACAGATGTGGCTCATTACCTTCAACACAAATGTGTACAAGGTTGCTGAGTGAATTTTAATTAACTGAATGATACACTTCCCAAATTTTCGATGGTAGAATGTAAAGTTGTTATAACTTAACTAGAAAAGAAAATTAGAAACAAAATGTTTCCACTGAATCATTTATGCTTACTTCCTTCAAGAGTAGGCAGAAGTGCCTTCATGATTACTTTTTTACACATACATCTTTCAGTTCATACGACTAGATGCAAGTATTTTTAAGTCATATTCTTTATTATTGTAAGAGAATAGACGGAAATTTTAAAACTGAATTCATCCATATGAGGTTTTCTCGTTTTCTAGATGACTTAAATTTTGCATGATATGTAAAATATATTTTGCAGTATTAACATGACCAAAGATGTGCATTTTTTCGAAAATTTATCAACAGAATAAGGGCCGTTATGAAGTACGACGATATATAAGTCTCTTAGTAGTTGCCATTGTATAAAAACTGCAATAAATGCAACGCCTGTCATAAAATGAATAAATCAAAACAGACGAGTCACTTATTGGAATGAAGATGCTCGTTGTACCCAATTACCTGTCGAAATGAAATTTATTTCGTAAACTGGCTGCAAAACCGATGAATTTAAAAAATTTTTTTGATGAAATAAGGTTAACAAAAGAATCCCTAAACATACAGTTTTTGACATCAGCTCAAGGGCGCATTCACTACATATCAGCAAGTGGTTTTTAGTAGTAAACTGCAGTGAGGAAAAATAAGCTTATCCTTATATTTTCTCGCTCATTTGAATACAAATTTCAGTCCACCGAATGGGTTATAATACAACTTTCCGTTACATATCCCTTGGTAATGCATCTTAGCACCTAAATTGCATATGCCCACTAAGTTTCTTTATCAGTCGTTTAAGCTAGGAATACATTACTTAATCCGCCATGAACAAAAAGACAAGGTTTTGCTTCAGTGAGAAAACTGCACAGTATGCTCTCAGTCCAAAGAATAGCCTAATCGTCAGTCCTCATGACTGAATGGGATTAAGCTAATTTAACCAGAAAAGAAGAGAACCATTAACTTTTACCAGATAGCAGCTGAACAACTTTATCTACACGCTACCGCAACACACTAGCAAATCAATGTTTCGTCTTTCACAAAATTACATTCGAATAACATGGAATTTTTTGCTACTCCCCACGACCCTTATCAATTTCCAGAGTATAGCATTTATATTTTGAAAAATTAAAATCAGAATATTGTTTCACAAATAGAACGTAAACACATGTGCTGATTTTTTCTTTCCATCAACAGACTTTTGCCTTTAGGGAAAATGCCTTAAGTGATTTTCATAGCGAAAGCAATATACAATGGATGTAAGATTAATTTTCTTTGTTTAAAAACTGTATTGTATGCAAATCTGTCTTCTGTTTTACTCATCTATTTCAACGACATTTGTTTGGAAATCGAATGTATTCTTATCTAGATTCACGAATCGAAATTCACTTACACAATAGATTCGGAAAGTTTATTATTGAAAAATATATCTTGATGATTCATCTAGTAAACTGCTGGTTGCCACTTTTTGCCTTTTTAATTGAATACTTTGAACAAAGGCTAGTTCCACTTTTCCCCAGAATAAATTTACTGCTTATCCCAGTTAAATAAAATAGATAATACAGATTTAAAAAGATTTTGTTGACTATTAAAAAGTGAAAAGGTATCATTTTCTTATCGGATTACAGTTTAGGCATGGAATGCTCATTGTTATATTCAATATAATCAGTCTCCTTAAAAACTGAAACTTGACTCATGAAATGCTTGTATTCTCAGAACTGTCACTTTGCTAAAAACATATTAGCAGGTGAAAACAAGTAATGTAGACGTCAACAACTAGAGGATCATAAATAAAACTGTGAAGTATGAACTGATATTACTGAAAATTGCTTACTCATATCTCTTCCTTGAAACAAACTAAGCACTACGAAGGCAGAATTATGGTTAGATGTTACCTGAGATTTGTTCGACAGGCCTGTAACATGAATCTGATTTCAAATGGTTTCACAAAGAATTTTTTCCATTAGAACATACACAATAAGACGTGTAAAAAGATGCTATCCCAGAAAGTACCTAGCCGATTAGAATAATGATGGAATTTGGATATATGTGTATTAAACTTACTGATTGCTTTCATAGGACTTCAGTCATACAAAAATTGTATTAAATGTAATTGTTTTGGTCTGCTTTTAGTGTATATTGACATAAAGTCCATTATCTGTGTGTAAAGTTCCTGTAAGAATGAATATTTCAGGTATAATTACATTCATTTTCCAAAACTCTTGTACCTCTTTGCTGGATGTGTTTAAGATGCGCTAACTGAATGTTGCTGTTGTAGGGTACCATTTTTCATGACTCAGACAAATGTTAAATTACCAAATAATGTTATCATCAGAAAATTTAGGATTTCTGGGTGAAATTGGAACGAAATTTGAATCATAAGATGCTCTGAGATCATTTAAAAGTAGTACAAAACAAATCGTTATCATGCAGTAAAGACAAAATAGGAAAGCGTCACATAGTCACTTCACGGTATATAACTTGCTTTCCAACGTATCTTATACATAACATCCTTTGATATCACCACTGCCCTGTTCGACTAATGCATTTTCTTCAGAAATCATTGGAAGCCCAGTGGTCATCTGAATAGACCCTCCAAAACAAAATCGCTGAGTTCAGTTTTGCTTGCCAACCGAAAATTTCCATGACAGTTTGACACACCTCAGTTATAAATACCTTGTCGGTTGATAGTGTTTAACATAAAAGTGTATAACAAACCATAATGAGTACACGCTGGCAAAACGTCTCCATTTATTTCTACAATCTTAAGCATTAGGTAAACAGAAGGACATGAGAACAGTTTTGCTATGGTCATAGCCTGGTGATGTTCATCCCTCAGGTAACCCGTAGGATGGAATAGTTTGGTATATGACTAATTTTTGAGCTTTATAATTGCCTTCATTTTGATATTTCTGAAATGATAACCACCTTTTGATACGATTTCATTATCTTCAAAAGTGTTTTTATTCCGATAACTTATTTACTCTATGCCTTACCCATCACTTCTGTTTGTCATCATTAGGCTGCAAAATCAATGCCTTTAACATGGTATCCATTTCAAAATTATCTGATTGTTTTTTCTAATATTTCATCTTAGCATTATTTTTCTATGTGCAACCCTAATCTTTTTAATATTTGCGGGTTTAACTGTGAAATTATACTCATTCTTATCAGCTTATATTCGTTTGAGCCAAGCGATGCGTAATTTAACTCGTTCAGTTGGAGCAAAAGGAACATTTTATTGTGATATTCTTGGTGAACCGATCCCTCAGTTTCAATGGTATAAAAATGGAGAAAAATTGGTGGAGAAACAAAATAAAATAAAAATTACCACTGCTCTTTGGGGAAGCGCGTAAGTCAAATCCTAACAATAGTATCTTTCCTTTATAGAATTGTTCATTTAAAAAAATAAGCAAATTTGAAAACTTAGCCATTAAATTTATACTGAACATATTGTGGTGTGGATTTCAACAGAATCAGCATTTTCTAGATTTTAAGGCCAGAAAAAACCTTGCTCAAATGAAAACAGGGTGTCTGGTTTTAACTAACTAGAAATTTAACCCTCCTAATATGTAATAAAAGTTTCACAAAAGTACTGTGAGTTATAATATTTACCATTTAGTCACTGATTAAAAATCAGAGAAAAAAAACTACAGCACTCAAAAACACTGACTTGGTGTATGGTACGCATCACATTTACAGATAATATACGATCTCTGCACTTCTGTGCACTATGTATCTAGCAACTGATCTATGCTTATACTGAACCATTTAAAGAAGGTAGGCAACTTTGAGGATGAAAACTTTCTCTATGTATTTACAGACCAAATTTTAAGCAACGACACCATCAATCAGGTTCATACCATAAGACCTCAACTGGAAAACAAATACACTAGATATGCTGCACATAAATATAATTATAAGAATTAAACGATGCATCATCCACCTAGATTCTGAAGAATAAGTACGCAATATTCTACCAAATAATTTTTGCCGTTGAAAAGTCCAAAGAATGATCACCTCCATCATTTTCAGATGCAAAGGCTGAAAGAATCTTTACAAAGGTCGAGCTATTCATTGATTCTTAAATTTTATCTCAGCTGGTTTTTCAAATGGCATAGGCTTGCGCAAGAAACCAACTTAAAATTGCCTTCACTTGATGGTCGTTTAGAAGCGAAACATTTATGGCTTTTTAAATGTTTTGCAATAAAGTGGTTTGTCAAAACATGTTTTACAAGTTAGGGAGATAGATTTTATCATACAGCAGTAAATTTACTCAGCCCCTTGCAATCCAAACCGTTGTGTTCTAAGTTATTGAACTTTCTCAATATATCAGTCCGTCAAGTGCTACCATTATGTTTTTTATTTAGTAATGATTGTTATTTCCGACTCACTGATGCCGGTAGATCCGGTTATCGAATCTTTAATAAGACTTAACCTACGTAATCCTTTTCACAGCTAGATATTGCTGATCGAATTCAATAACTATGCTTCCATTTAATTAACCAGGTAAAGTTCTGAAATAGCTATCACTCCACTGGCTAGGTTTTGTATATCATGAAACAGTCAACATCAGAACTGCGATGCTGCATCAGTCTGTTAAGAACTAATAGGTTAGGTGAATGAAACATTTCGGTAGCCCTGGGAACAAAACCATGAAACTAACATCTATTTTGTGACCCGTTATTGTCTAGAACAAAATTCCAGGTGATATAGTTAATCATACTAATAATAAATACTATACTCGCTTTATTCCAAACCATAATTTTGTTTACAGTACACAGTATATAATACTGCAATTAACAGTGTCCTAGTATAACCACAAAACCTAATTCTGTATTTTTCCCTCACATCTTTTTACTGACATATGCGCACAAATCATTTTGTCGACCAAAGCTACCTATTGATGATTTTTGTGCTAGATGGTAAACGTTAATAACTATATTCTGTCCTATACACATTCATACGACTACTTTTCCATATCTAGTTTACGAGTGGAAAAACTACAGAATTCAGATGCGGGTCAGTATCTCTGTGTTGCAACTAATCCTTCTGGAACCTTGAATGCGACAGCGCATCTTCAACTCACGAACAAAAGTAAGTGTAATAATTTAAAAAATCTATTTTTCCTTCTCTGACATATATACCTCACAGCCTTCAATTATGAGAGCTACTCAGTGAATAATTTATTGATGATTCTGCTTTTGTGATGCTGAATAAGTTTAATTGATGTGTAAAGCATACATAATTCAGTGTTTTCTGTTAGAAATCCAGTGAACCTATTGATCACAGTTCTCAGTCCATTTCAAAACACGCTGGAAGCACTTAACCTCATTACTCAAAAGAAACTTCTATCAAAATTGTATTCACCCTGTGACATTTTTAATGATAATTTTGGACAAGAAACTTGATTTTAACTAAGTGACGTTTAAACAAATTTTACAAGATGGTATGGCATTCTAACCAATGGCAAATGCTTTACTGAGTACTTACATTTGCTTCATGTTTAGTCTAGTAATATAAGTCTTTGATAGGTCAAAAGCCTCCATATAGTTGACTTATTTCAATTTATAAGTGCATTCGTTAAAATACACTTTCAGCAAAATGATTATCTCTTATGGAGTGGTAACTAAGTAGGAACCACATTCATCCACTTACTCATCAATTCATTTGTAAGTAATGAATACCAAACTAATTAAACAAGCATAATGTAGCACCTTATCTTGCTTTAAACCATTTTCTGGCTATATAAGGTTGCATATGACCTGGAACAGAAGCATTGCTTACTTTTATAAAGAAGATTGTAACGCAAGAGTGTGAATTCTGCATTAACATGCTTCACGGGATGGTAGATGTAAGAGCACCTAGTTGTTGTATACACATAGTGTTTCAATGTACACTGTTTCATTAGTTGGGACAGTATCAAGCGAAACTAATGTAAGAAAATCGTTTGATTAATTAATACTCACACTTCGGTATTTATTTCCTTTGATTAAAAATTAGTCGCGTTTGAAGTTTACTGGGATATTTCTTGTAGAGGTTTTAGAACTTTCTATTTATTAACCGAATTGTAATTCGTAATGTAACTAAGTTTTTCATTTTTTGAGCAAAAGACTGAAAATATTCCCAAAAAACTTCACCTTAGTCCGTTTGTTAGAAATGTCACACAGTGAAACAGTGTCATGATATATATATATATATATATATATATATATATATGTCCGAGACGTTATTCAGTAAATGAAACTTTTTCACCTTCTGACATTAATACATGGACTGAAATGGAATTACAATCTACTGCAGTACGCTAGTTCTACTCCTATGTTCTCAGAAAACATTATGCAAGCTAATCATTACGAAAAATTATCTTCCACTAAATCACATCACTATATCCCAGGTACGAATGACATACATAGCCTCTTTATCAAACGGCAACTTCCAAATGAAGTAATTCTGTGTCTCATCAAGTTAAAATTACCCTTCGTTTCGCCCAACTTCAAAATACCATCAGCTCTTAGCAACACTGATAGAAATATTTGATGCGAGTACTTTCGATGATTTGCTTAACTCTAACACAGTGCGAAACATAAAAACAACCAAAAAATAAACAGTTTGATGTATGATGTAACTGAAAAATGTCCACTTCACTACCAGATTTCAGCAGCATATCTAATTATTCCTTAGTACTTCCCCTTCACTGCCTGTATTATTATAAGTGCGAACAGTGTTCAGCAGTACATTCTAGTAAGAGAATTTCAAAAACAAAGCACCAGTACCACGTGTATAACAGTTTCTACCATACATGAAGACAGACACCATGCTTATAATTTAATATCTTCCTTGAATGTGAGTCGGCAAAGTGTTTTTGAGTTAGTATGGAGCAAATGTTGATGAAGTCTCCTAGCCCGATGATGAAGCACGAAAGAACGAAACTCAAGGCTCCAAAAACACCGAACAACTATCATCTTCAACCTGAGTCACAAATTTTCTTTTTCATTCCAGACATGTGCTTCATCAAGTTTATGCTTAAATGAAGTCCACAGGCCGTAACCAAATTCTTAGAGGATGTAACTTTTGCTTACAGCAATTTTCTTTAACGGTAGCGTTTCATTTTTGAAAGGACAAACTTAATATACACTAAAGAAGGATTTATTCTTTATGAATATCTCGTGAAGCAAATGAGAATATATATTAAAAACTATATTCAAATTTATTGTGATAGACGAGTCAAGTTTAATTACACAGTTTAATTGCTCTGCTTCTCCTAACGAATTATTCGTCTGGATATCTGAACTATAATGCTCAACAGTACTGAAGTTAACATACATACGAAGTCCATCTACTTTCTTTACATATTTTTCACCAATTATTCACTCATAAAAACCATTGAATTAGTGTGTCTTCAAATATACCAAGCATCTTCAAATCACTATATTTCCTTCAGAAAACTTGCAACAGAACAATGCTATGAAAAACTGAGTTTTCAGTTCTTCACGATCAAAAATTTAAATTATTAGCCCACTAATTAGTTCCAAATTAGGGAAAGACAATAAAAATGAAACTCCGGTATTTGGCGATTTTCGCGTATGTAATTTTCAACATCTTCCAGTACCATCCTGTTTTGTCTGCATTCTGAATTGCAGGTTTTTTTTCCTATGATATTTAACAGGTGAGGTGTTAATTAGCTAATCAATCATTAGGCGAAAACAGATGAAAACACGCAATTTTAGATACATTTTCCTTTAAAATCTCAAAACTTTGAAACACCAAACAGTGGAAATAGGGCAATTTTAAATTGCTGGATATTTTTATTTTTTCTAGACAAATATATACACTTTTGAAATTAAATTTCATTTGATTTTGCTGTGTATACAACAAGAAAGTCTAGCTTACTTCCAGTTGTTTCCATTCCAAATTTCTTGTAAAGTAATTGGCGAAATTTATGTGTATTGTCATTATCGTATGCTCGCTCAACAACAAAACTCTTACCTCGTATTACTTTTATTCTGCGTAACATAAGGTAAACCGTTCTACAAATTTGAGTTAAAATCCTTAACTTGGTATGCTATCTAATGTAAATTCTTTTGGTAAATTACATGTTTACACTATAAATAGCTAACATACAGTCACTCACTTTCGTAAAAATGTTTAGCGCAAACATCACTATTTCGCCAATATGTTACTACTTTCATAGTTTTATTATCCTTCAGATAACTTAAATTCCACCCTCTCTTACAGACTGAAAACTTAAGGCCGACTTTGATGGATTCTCGTTAGGTTTACTCTCAGTGAAATTGATCAGTTCATTTCAAGTAAATAGATCTTTGCCAAGTAATCACACTTGTCACACAACATCCAGTTATTTAATATAAACATTATCGCTGCATAATTTAAAATACATTCAATATTCCTGTACATCTTGAAGAATTACACCAACAGAAGAATGCTTTAACTAAATCAGAAATGTAAGAAATCGTGTTGAATACAAAAAACGTCTAGTGAAAAACAAAGAATTTTTTGCTTTCTTTTACAGATCACAACATTTTTAGTCTTGAATGATTCGGGAAGCAGAATCTCACATCCAAGTCCATAAAAGTAATTTTAGGAACGGAGTTCCTAACTTCGAATGGGATGAAATTTTAAATGCATAATATTTACTGTCTCTCAAGCAATTTCCATACAACATATTCTTATGATAAAATAGTTGACAGCAATTTCTAGAGTTAACTAACAATCGTCTTATGAATACCAATAGAGGTGGATATATAACTGGAACACTGACTGTTACAAGGAGTTAAATATCAGTGGATTCGAATTCCTTTTTCGTTTTACCTGCAGCACTTGGGAACGCCTGTCACGAAAATTTATTATTTCCACTCTTCACTTTTCACTAAGGTCATACCCAGGCTTTCTCACAAATTTTGTTGACAAATAGTATTCATTACGCAATCTGAACTCACCTTACCTATCTATTATTTTCACTATTTCTCATATTTGAGAAACTAAATCCTTAAATGAAGCAACTTAATGGGACATATTATTACTTTTCTCCATTGGACATTCCATATTCAGATGTAGAAAGAGTGACCTATATTTCGTAATAGAAATTTGCTGTAAGTAATTCAGTGTTTAGCCGATCAGATCATTTACACAGTCATGGTAACCAGACATATGATTCAGAATCATGTTTTTTATGTCTGAATATTTGCATTTCTCAATTTTCAAACACAGAGGGAGTTTATTTTAATTTTATAAATGCAAACTAAAATAGTACGAGAGATTTCCTACCAATGAATGATCAACGATTGGGTTTTAATTTATTTTCATTAACCTACTCTGAAAAATTAATTCAACTAAAGTGGCCTTGGTTTATATATTCTATACCAACAAAACATCTATATTACGGTGCATGCAGTATAAACTGGCTAATGTCACAGTATTCACTATTCCAATTAGCTGTCTAAAAACATGTCTACGGCATTAGTTTGTTTTACTGGAAATTAATGAATACCATTCATATGAGGTAATATATAAACCGTATCAGCTTTCGAAGTTGACAACAGGTCGAATGGAAGATTTCTGTGACTGGATACGTTGTATATTTTTAACGTTATTAGTATATTTTATCAGAATTATCTTTTCCTAGACATGAATGACCGTATTTCATTATTCTGAATGTTACACAAAAGATCATTTTCCTGGAAGTTCTTGTACATTTGTGTTAATTTTCCTCTTGCTCTCGTGTATTTTTTCTGAATATGTAATTATAGGAAGAGATATTTCTCTCCTATTAGCTTATTCAAACTTACTACACATCCTCTTTTATGTTATTTTGTGTCCGATAACTGAATATCATCAACACAATCGTCCCTTCATGATAATATGAGGAAACAACAATTTGATTGAAAAAAACCAATTTATGTAATAACTAGCTTTATAGGACACAGAATTAAGCGCACAATAATAAGTGTCACGCAATATTCAGGGAATATGTTGTTTTACGTTTTCCGGTGGTTTCACTATTTCTATCTATTCCTTTCTATCTATCTTCCTTTCCACTATTATTTCTGAAATATTGATATCATCAGGGGCTGAATAAACATGCTTAATAAAATGAGTCATTTTTTTGATAAGGTAATTCTGATGGCATGGTTTAATAATAATTTTTTCTTCTATATGGTCTAAAATCATGTAAACATTGTCAGAGATTTAAAGGTTGTTAAAGACACTAGTTTGGCATTTTAAAATTCTGTATTGTTGCAACGAACATGATTCTGACTAGAAAACTATGTACAAAGATATCAAAGATAGAATGTCTGGTACATAATTCCTCTTGCGACACAATTTGACTGAGTAAACAGCTAAAATTAACCCACTGCCAACCGTTTGCAGATGAAAATCAGTCTGCGGTTATAATTATGTAACTCAACCCCATAAACCTGGTCTTAGTATTGCGTAGGGCATTGTTCACAAAAGTTGTTAGATGAATTACGTTTCCAAGTGGAATCTCATTAAATCTGTTGACTAAAGCTTTTTGACTCTAAAGAATCATTACGCAGGGTACTGAAGGGTGGATCTGAAAGCAGTTCTCAGCATTACTCAGATAACAAAGAAAAACTAGACTCGGTTGAGAGACATGCAGCAGTGGTAACCATAAAAAATATGTCTAATATTTCAACTTTACTTTCCCTTTGTAAACAACATATCTGACACTCCTATGGAGCAGTGTTCAGACTGAGGGGTGAAGTCGTCACAAAATGACACAAGTGACTACAGGCAGTTGTATACTAAAGTCACTTCTACGAGAATCAAACTTTTTAGGCTGTACTTTATAGGATGAATTTGATTAATACCATTCAACAAGGTAAACTAAAGTTGCTTGCAGGCAATCAATTTCGCAACTGCTATGCAGTAGTATCGAGAGAATTCCCTACGTAAACAATTTATTTTTTTGCTTTAAATTAAAGTTTTATGTTGTCGAGAACAAATTAATGCTACTCAGACTAACTCACAAACGTTGATGAACTTTTTCATTTCAGGCACCAAGTCAACTACATTTGTTAAACCACCATTACAAGAAGATCAATATCTGTAAGTTTGAAGTAATGATAATGACTATTGTATAACCTTACAAAATTATTCGATAAACCCTTATTAAAAGCGTTTTTAAAAAAACTAGAACGCTAGACAATTAATTAAAGAGTGGTCTTTATTAGAAAATTTAAGCAGATTGCTTTTTATGTGAAGTAATAAATTGTGGATTGATATCTGTTGATTACGATAACGAATTATCAATGCGATGAAATTTCATAAACTTATCTCTCTGTTCGCTGTGATTATTTTCACAATAAACGTATCTTTTAAGTGTATTCATCAATAAATTTCTATATAGAATGACTTTCTAAATAATCATCACATAAGGACAGGGCATAACAGTAAGTGGCTTCACAGCTGTAATGAGCATAAACGTGACACTTGAAGTGTTACATCTAATTTGGACGATCAATTTAAGTACTTTTTGTGCGAGCTTCATAATTTCAGTCCACTTAGTTTCACCAGAAATAGTCATTCTCGCCTTAATTCGATGTTGAACATCTTCAGTGAACTTCAGCCAGCTGCATTCTAGCTGCTCAATTCACCAATCTCATGATTATAGACTTGAGTACTACATGGAAATATTATTTTGTTTAGGTGCATAAAAACTGACACAGTAAACCATATTGTTTCAAAGTTTATTTCACTCATAAAAAGCTTCTAGGACCAAATAAGACAGTTGAACACAAAGAATATGAACAGCAGCCTAACTTCTATCTAAATCTAACTAGTTAATATTCTAGTGAAAACTGGAGAGTATACTGCTCAAATATATTGCAAAATATCTGGAAGACTTATTTACGTATAAATGCCCCTGATTGATATGTTAGTTCAAGGCGTCTACAAAAGCATAAATTATTTAATGACCTCATATACACGTATTAATAATTAAAGTTTATCAGTGGTTTTACGCCTTGTTTTTCATTTACCGCAGGAAAGTTTAAATTTGATGCACTAATACTATTAACACTGTTCAGCAATTATTCAGGTGAATGAAATTAGAAAAGGTAAAGGGTAGTGTCAATCTTCATTCTACTTAACTACCTACCATTTAATGAACTCAAAACAATTGTGGACACTTGGCATTTCAGCTGTAAATGTTTCCTATGAAATAAATCTAATGCTACACCCAGGATAAATATTGAATGTAACCTAAAATAGTTTCCATGACACACTGCAAGCGAAAATAAAACACAGAAAACAACAGGAAATTTGTGACTGCAAAACATACTGTCACATCATGCCACACTTCCGAATCTCATTGCAAATGTTGGACACAGCTCTTAATATACTCCTGTTCAGAAAACCGAAATCCCTATTAAGTTGGGAGAGAACATTAAATAATTCAAATCAACCAGATTACATCTACACAAACAAAACAACCCTTAGGCATAGATAAATAACGTTGATTTATTTCGACAGTAGTTCATAATTTATTTGGTAAAATTATTCCTCGAAGAATTTGGATTGTGAAATAAACAATAAACAAACCAATGGAGAATAGTTTAGCAGAAAACTACTGGCAGCTAAACCATTATTCCGTATTGAAACAAAGCAAACAGATAGGAGTGAAAGATAAGACTCATTACAAAACTCATTATAGAACATTATATAGAAAAAAATAGAACATCATGTCTCGTACCTAAATTTATATTAAATCTTTTGAGTACAACATAGTGATAAATTATTATTTACGAGATATTTTTTTTGAACATGACAATGCACATGATCATTTCGAGGTAACACACTAATGTCTACTGGATAAAATAAAGCAATGTAACGGAAAAACAATATGAAACAACAACATAAATTTCCTATTGTTATTTCCACCAAACTACTAAATCACATCTAAGTGTGAATGAATCGGAAGTGTCGCAGACAAACTGTAACCATAATAATCGCGTAAGTATTAAACGAATACCGACCTATGCAAATGATCGAATGGGAAAAAACTTTTGTAAAACGAGCTGTTAAATTTTGCTACAACTATTATTCGCCATCTTGAATTGACCTGAAACCACTTCAGCTGTTCATTAAAATGTCCAAGCAAATATGTTTGTTATTTTCTGAACTATTACATCTCAACTAGATTTGATACATGTTGTCGAATAAAAGGGAACACTGAAAATAGTAATTTGATATGAATGTTATTTTAGAATTTACCACTAGTTTTCCTTAGTAAGTAGGGTAAATAATTATTTCTTATACTGGAACGAAACTTAAAGCTTATTTGAATAATTATCGACTGTCAGATTTCAACAACCGGAATCAGCAAGAAAATGGTGCACCTTAATGAAACATACTTTCGTACAAAATATCACATAGTTGATTCTTTCTGTTCATTCGAAGATGAAATTGCTTGAGGTCATCCTGACTTCCATAGGCAGTCTATCTTATGATAGAATCCAAGGGTGTTAGAAGCAAACTAAATACATTTTGATTTCCCGCTGGAGACCCACGTCCGCTGAACCTACGATGTGATCCAGCTTCAAACACATTCCATAGTGCCTAAAAATGAACGCGAGCTATAATTATAGGATTTTAAGTTTTCTAAACAAACAAAGTTGTAATTATTCTTCTAATAATTCATTTTATTTCCATCACAGCTAACTCTCACTAAATTCTAATTCTTCACCCTGAAAATCCAATTTGTGCTGAAGATAGATAAAAACATCTCATCTCCTTCATGGATACCAGCGACTCTTCCCTAAGGCATGACTATTCCGTTTTTCTTGTTCGGAAGTTTCCGAGAATCTAGGCTATTATTCCCCCGAAGTATAAGCATGTAATTATGCTTGAGATGGTTAAAAGAAACAGAAGTGACTAACTGTTTTGCTGGCTTGCTTTAGTTTTTCCTTACGTTTTATTTATTTTTGACCAACTCTCACTAGCTTTTTCATTCACTTAACACTTTTCTATGCTACTTTATTTTTGTGTTAATAATGATAACCATTCAGCCTAAAATATTTTAGCCGCCAAGTTTTTTTTGTTGAATTCGGACACTGAATATATAAGATTTAGTGGTAATTGTTTCGATATTTTGTTTTTATTATTCAAACGACATTGGCCTGCATATCTACCCACCTTTGTATCATCTTGTAGCCGGCTTCCAACACACTGGAATAAGACGTTATGCACTGTAACTTTTATAGTAGATAAGAATAAACTGGAACTAAAAACAGAATTAAGCGAGGTTTTCTCCATGTCCATTCTCACTACATACAAACACTCACTTTTTGCCTTTAACATGCAACTTGACTCGCTACGTCTAGTTAATTACTTTCGTGTGAAATTGGATACGACCACTCTTTGATAAGTAACTATGGTGACTGAAAGTATATCATAAAAAACAAAGAAATCCAGAAGTGTATCATCCATTAGAAAACACAATCAGCATATACATATATATATATATATATATATATATATATATATATATATATATATATATATATTGCATTTCATGATTTTTCTACACAGATCTAAGACACTTTAAAAGTCTAAGCGCAAGTAACTTGAAAACAGTAGCAGTATTAATACGTGCCGTTTTACTTAGCAGCAGTTGGATAAAACATACAGTTCAGCTGTTTAGATAGCGATTCTTGTTTTTAAAAATGACCACTTCTGTTTACTATTCAACATCTCAGAAGTTTTTATCCTCTCCCTCGTCTTGTATCAAATAAAATAACTTAGTAGCTCAACACAATACTTCCGGAAAATCATCTTCAGTTCAATCAGATAGGATGATTTCAAAGAGCATTCTAGTTTGTTTTATTATCGTTTTAGTGTATGACCGAAAGCTTCATTTGCAGGTTCGATTTTCATCATATTCGTATCATCAGTCGATGAACACTAATTGTAGATTTATTCAGTATGATCAATCTTAATTTATGATCAGTGTCCAATTCAGATTTGTATCTCGCTAATAAAGTAACAATTTGATCCAAAGTCCCCTTCACTTAAATATAAATATCAGCATTCACTCACTTCTTAGTTCTAATGATGATTCATTTCTTGTGAAGCTGTTTTTTCTTACCTCAGAAGCCTAATAAATTATCATTATTTTCGGTGGTATTACTCGTCATAATAAAGTTTATTTTCACTACTGTTATACAACAAACGGGCGATGACCTATGAGGAAATAAATAACTAAAAGCTTTCCTGTCATTTTTCTCCATCCATGTCAACACCCAACACACATACACGTGCATGCATACGACGTTATGCACAAATGTGTGGACAAACTTCCTTTCTCTCTCACTCTGCTGCCTAATGCCTTGTTTCTAATACCTACCATTTTTTAAATTTTGACAAAAAACAAAAGTAGAAAAAATGGAAAAAAATTGAAATATGAAAATGTTTTGGTGTTAAATATGAAGAAGCAATCTGCAGATGTAACTTAACTTGAGATTTTTGTCAGTATACACCAACAGGGTGTATCCGTTAAACTGCGAATAAGTTGAGCTTTGTCCAAGATTTGAAGACGTTCCACTCAATAACATAGAATAAGATATTATCACCGAGGTATGTGGTTAATAAACTACCTGGTTCACAGATAACTTATGTATTTAAATTCAACTCTCCGTTTTTATGAGTTTAATGCTCATTCTTAAGATTAATAAATGACCTACGTTCGTTGCCGATTATAATTGTTCCCGATATTTCTATCACCCTTTCTCAACTGTTCACAATCTGCCTACCATCTGTGTTTTTCATCCAAAAGCGGTTAGACTTATGAGTGAATGAGTTGAATGAATAAATTTTTACTGATAACCTAGTATCTCCTACGTCATGTTCTACTGACGAATTTAATTAAAATTGTATTCCAGGAAAGTCTGATTATAATACAATGGTCACTGTCTGAATATGGTTTCATCCAAACCCACCTGTAAACTGATGCTTTACTACGATGCGAATAGCGAGTACATAGGATTACGAATTGTCCAGCTACTAAATTCATAAACTTATATTAACTCTGTATAGCGTCTTCGGAAATCTGAAAAGAGCACGCTGAAGATGAGTTGAGTCGTTTTACAAATTTTACAGTGACTGAAGCTAAAACATGATGTAGTTCGAACAAAATGAGTGGTAAACTGTGATAGAAATCCTACAAATTAATAAGATGGCTTTAAGAACTGCTACGGCTTTCACTGAAAGATAAAACCTGTCAAATTATAATTTGTAATCCCTATTCGGGCTGATAGTTGTACCTATGAGATTAGCGTCATTCTCTTTCGATATTCAGTATCCAGTGATATATGCATTTTAAGACTGAGCATAGAAGAATGAGGTCGTCATTATTTCATATGAAATAACCTGAGTGTACTGAAAGTGATCTTGACTTGCGGTGGCAGTTTTACTATAACACCTCCGACAAAAGTAAACAGTTTTAGAAATAACTTGTTATTAACAGCCTGTATCACTCAACGACTTGTTCCATACTTTAGTGTCAACTTGGTTTTATTTATGTGTTTTAAATTTCGAGGAAATTTTTAACACAGTAAATCAGTCCAACTAAGTAATGATCGATCCAGTGTGTTATCAGTATGAAAAACAAACAACAGCAGCAATTTTTCAACTTCTAATGAAGAAGACTGATAATATTAATGGTAAACCGTGGTTAAAATGGGATAGTAAGCAACAGTCTCCAAACTACTGGATGGATGAATCACTTCATGGCAGATTAAACCTGATAACCTATAATTTTTAGTTTCAGTTGATAGAAATTATCTCCTGCCTTCATTTAGGAACCAGCGAAATAAGACATTATGAACTGTCTGAATGACAACTAATGCACCTGGAATATTCATGGTTGACAGAAACTAGTATTTCAGTTAAAAGTTAACTGAACGATTTGGTCTGGGTAACAAGAACCTTCTTAGCCTTCACGGTTATTCTCAAGTTCTGCATCAGTTCTAAACATAATGATAGTTGGATTTGTTGATTTAGTTTGCGGGATTTTACTGCGACTGCAGAGTTTACAAAAAATCAAGGTAACCACTACTTTTTTCTCTACAGTAGGTGTTTTTCTCAGTTGCTACTTTTACTGCAAGATAATCAGATGCAAAGTATGTAGAAGTAGTATTTATGAGCAATTTTTTCTATTCCTCTTCATTTTCACGTCATCATAACAGTATGAATCCAATGTCCTCTGAATCTGACGGCTTCTGTCAAGAATTTCACAGCAACGTTTGCGGTAAATATCTCATGGGTCATCGCGTCTACGTGACAAGAGAATTTCAACAAGCACTTATTGAAGCACAGATATCTAAATGTAGGTTATAATTGAGAATATCTTTAATAATATAATTCTTTTCGCAAAAATTTTGCTCTAAAATACAAACTTTTAACATTTGTTTGCATTTTATGCGAAGAAAAATACATTAAACATTTACTCTCTAGGTACTTAAAAGTCCTATTAACAACTGAAAGCTGTAAACTAATATCACTACACTTATAATATTTACGGCAATCTTTTTTAGTTACACCGTGAGACCAACGTTTCGAACTAATGAGGATTCATCAGTAGCATCTCCTTATCATACTGAAGATCCAATGATAACATCATATTACAAACTTCCGCATTCTTCTACAAGTGTAAAAAGAAATTCTTTATTTTGCTTTAATTCCGACCTACTTAAAAAGTAAACCACCTGGCATTGAGATACGCATTCACAAATGTAGAAACTGTCACTTATCGAATACATTTTCAAATACTAGATGCTATTTTAATGATGGGTAGTGGATAGCAGTGAAAGCCAAGATACAAAACTCCTCCTATTTGGGACTCCTCAGCTGGATGTACCTGCCCCCCAGTGAGTGATGTTGTCCCCACCGGAATTCGAACTTGGGACAGACCAATTCAAACGCCAGAGCACTATCCACCAGACCACCAAGCCACGACAGCTACTTCTTATGCGACACGTATAGTTTCAGTATGATTGCTTGTATTATACCGTCGTTGACCGGACTGAATTGATCAGTCTTTATTGGCATATGGGCTGCAGCGCAGATGTCTCAAAATTGCCTGTTTTAATTATATATAGTAAAGATGGATACCACTCCTAGCCACTATCCATCACTACTACATATCACTTAAACACAGGCGATATTGAGGCATCCATGCAGGAGCCCACATGCCAATAGAAACCGACCAATTCTGTTCAATCAGCGATGGAATAATACAAGGAATAATACTAGATGGTTTTGTCTCCAAAGCTGGTAACGAAGTTATCGTAAGTAATAGTTACTTGCATAAAACAATTCTCTAATACTCTTAAAACGATACCTTATTACATAATACCATATGGTGAAAATTTAAATTGAGGTAACCAACATAGAGAAAACATTACATCAAATAACTAGGCTACTTACTGTCTGGGAGGGAAGAGATCAACTAAGATTAAACCAATGAGAGATAGTGAAGGAAGCCCGGTTGCCACCAGAGAGGGAAAACAAAGGGAACAACGTACTGACCACTTCAAAAAACTCTTGGATCGACTACCATCACCAACACCTGCAACTCGTCCAGAAATACCACCAGCAGCCCAGCCACACAATTATCAGTGAACACAAGCCCTTCGACAAAAGCTGAAGCCCTCAAAGCCATAAAGTCACTGAATCCGGGCAAGCAGCAAGACCAGGTTCAATTCCTACAGAAGCACTGAAAACAGACGCAGAGACAACAGCGGACATACTCACACCACTATTACACAAGGTTTGGAAGGAAGGAAAGATACCTGCCCACTGACTGGAAGAATGGCTACCTTGTCAAACTTTCAAAGTCTTTGCAAGAATTGGCGCAGAATCATGCTCCTATCCACACTAAGAAACGATTAAGCCGCATCATCCTGGAGAGACTAAAGGATGCACTGGATTCAAAATTACCACCGAAACAGGCTGGCTGGCTGGCTGGCTTCAGGAAGAACAAATCATGTATGGATCACATCGCATCGCTACGCTACGCATCATCATAAAACAGAGTATAGAATAGCAGTCAACTCTGTACCTCAACTTCATCGACTCTGAAATGACCTTCGACAGCGTCGACCGAGAATTAATTTGGCAGGTAGCTGCTTCAACACTACGGTTTTGGTGCCACAAACCTTTATCAACCTCATTCAACAACTATATGACGACGCCACATGCCAAGTGATTCACAATGGAAAGTTGTGATGCCTTTGAAGTGAAGACAGGAGTAAGACAAGACGAGGCTGCTTACTATCACCAATTATCTTCATGATTGTGGTGGACTGGGTCATGAAGCAAACTGTGAGGAGCGAGAAGATGGGCATATGCTGTTTGACCGATGGAAAGACCCTAGAAGAAGATTTGGATTTATGTCTGATGTCACACAAACTCGATGATCTACAGGCAAAAACCAACAAGTTGACAAAACAGGCAGCGCTGTGCAGCGCAACGCAACGCAACGCAGCGAAGACGGGACTTCAAGTGAGTGTAGAGAAGACAGGTGATGAAGATACATAACCGACAACAACAACAAGTACCAATCACCATCAACGGGAGAAACCTAAAGGAAGTAGTCTCTTTCACCTACCTAGGCAGCATCGTTTCAACTACAGACGGCACAGATGAGGTTGTCAAAGCCAGGATCGGTAATGCAGCAAGATAAGCCTTCATTAATCTGAAATCAGTGTGGAGATCTACTGCACTGCACTCAGCATGAAGCGTGAACAAGATCCGGATTTTCAACACTAATTCAGTCAAGTAATTCAGTGTTGCTATATGGTTCAGAAACTCGGCGCGTTACGAAAAGCATTTCCAACAAACTACAGACATTCGTCAGCATCTGCCACCTACGCTCACTCGACACTGAAGATCAGATGGCCAGAATGATAAGAATAAGGAACAAGGAACTCACTCTGGCCGGGCAACGAGCCAACTAAGAACCCATCGCGCAACAAATATACAGAATAAAGTGGAGATGGATTGGATGGGGCATACGCTCACTGAGAAGACCATTTGGGGACATCACGCGTCGGGTGAGGCCGTCGAGTGGAATTCAAATGGGAAATGACGAGTTGGGCGTCTGAGGCGAGGATGACATGGAGGATATCATGTGAGGAAGAAATGAAAGGTTGTGGGCAGTCGTGAAGCCCGGTCCGAAAGACTGCATGGAACAGAGTGGAACGGAGACGTGCTATTGAAGTTGTGTGTTCCACAAGGAACCCAAGGGACAAATAATAATTAATAATAACCAACATGAACCAACTCAACTGCTCATTCTGATAATTACTGCTCATGTAGGACCACACATTCTACGAAGCAAAACAGAGTTCTTACTAGCAATTTTAGGCTTACAAAGTACTGTGAAAACAGTAAAGTTTGATGAGTGCCAAGAATCAGACAACTACATAGGTTACTCGATAGCGATCAACTCGTGACTAGAAATAATTTCTCAAAAATTGATTTTAGGTATATAACATGTAAGTATTCATGAATAATACTTCACTTAATGAGATGAAATCTTCACTGTAATATAAAAGACTTTGATAATAGTCACTTTACTAATTCACTTGTGGTTGCGTTAGGACTTCCGCATACTAGCTAAAACTTCAATGGAATGTGAAAAATATCTGATAAAAGCAAAGGATACGAATAAACGGCAGATGATCTAAATGTTGATATCTATGTCACACATTTCTTTTCTGTCTGAAGGTAAGATTCTGAATATACTGAGATTTCTTATAATTCCTAAGTAGTTATAATATTCTGTTCTGTAAGAGAGAAACAGTTATAGGTTGATAGGATGATACTCCTCTGATGAATTCTCAGGATAACCTTACCCTGAAACTCATACACATCAGAAACAGTAAGACTTCAAGGTGCTCATAGTAGAATACAACAGTAATCCATCAAGTTTTTAATAACTGAGTAAATTATTATAGGAACGATTAAGCTTTGAAGTATATGCAACTTATGAGTGAAGAAGTTGATCTTGGTAATCCATATTTGCCTGTTAGCCGTAGACCGAAATTTAACACTTGATCGAATTAACTCTATCTATCCTCCTTCTTCATGTCCCCTTAGAGTCATATTTTACTTATATGTCCTATGTTAATAAGCAGTTTATGAATTATTTTGACCGCATTGTGGAAAATAACCTTTTTTCATGAAATACTGAAAGATGTGTTTGTTATATAAGATAAGCAAGATAGATCTTGATAGAAGAAGAATAATGGTTAAAATACGGTTATAGCAATTCATTTTGAACTCATGTAAATAAATGTCAGCACTTGGTTTTGTCCCTGATTACTTCTTCTACAAATTATGTTTACTTCATCCATTGAAGCTTAACTAAATGAGACAGGCAATATCACTAACATTTCCTAATTGCTATCACATAGGTTTAAAAAACCAGTTTATTCTTGTGTTAAACGCATAAACATTTTAGAGAATTTTTCAGTTTCTTAGAAGTTTTTCAGTTTACAGTCAATCTTGAGTTTAAACTAAACCACGAAAGTAGTAGTCTTTCCCACTATTTGCCTGAATGTCAGCTGTATACACCCATAACACTAGTAAGGTGCCACGCAGTCCTTAAAATTTGCACAATACTGAATTCATTTACATGTCGAAACGGAAGAACTCTCATGGCAGATACATAAATTGAAGTACTTCACTATCGGTGGCTTTTAATGTCTCCGTCAGTTTCTAAAATTCATCAGTTTTTATTATCATTATTTCATCACGTTGAATATTTCCCTCTTTTTCATTCAAGTTACTTGTGACTCAGCATCTCATTTTGCTTCGAAGTGATAAATACTGACATACTTTGTAACAGGCTAATAAATCATCTATAATTAATTAAACAGCAATACACAGTGTATAACCTTCTGTATCATCATTTCATGTTCTCTAAGGAATCATGTTTGATTAATTCTAAATAAGCTGAACAAAGAATTCTTATAAATTATATTTGAAAACATCATTTTGATATCAAATTCTTTAATTACATGATATATTTCTTCTAAAACTCGCATAAACAATGTCGGCATTTTCGTTAGAAATGTTTGTCCAGGAGTGAGTATTAGAAAATTTGAAGTAACCGCCTGTTTTGCCGTGTAGACACTGAGTAGACATGTTTAAGGTACGATATTGAGCGGTCAGTGACAAGTTAGAGTAGATATGGATGGAAGTCAATGAGAAGTATATAAATGCATTCAAATTTTGCAGTTAACGTGGAATATAGCTTATCTTTAGTTCACTCATCCTCCTTTCAACAAAAATAAACTTTTTTCATGAATATTAAGTAGT